CTTCCTGCAGGGTGTCTGCAAGTGAGCTGGTCACATAGGCACATTCCAGCTACTTAACCAGCCTCAGCCCTCAAAATCTTCAGCTCCACCAAAACCGAGTGCTAGGCAAAAATCTGATTATTTTGGTAAACAGTGCTGACTGGCTGGTACATTCTGCCCTGAAGCAACTCACAGAGTTTTACTTTGGTAACAGCATTTATCTTTAGTAGGTACATTTTAGAGTTTTGGCCAAGGGTCAGCAGAGCTCTAGTAACCTCATAGAGAAGCATCTGGTCAATTCAGACCTGCTCAGATTAACTCATACTGTGCACTATTTCACATAAAAGCAAAATGTCACTAAACTACTTTGCTTTACATTTGAGTTGAAACTAAAGTGGCTCTTTTGTACAAGTCTAGAGTCAATGTTTTTAGGATAGATTCTCCAAGCCCAATTTAAACAAAATGGAAGGCATGTACTGCTGCCGGCAACTCTTTCTCCTGCTGGCATACCTCCTTCTCAGCCCTCACCTTCCACTTCATCTCCAGGATGGCCCTTTCCACCTCCTCCAGGGCTCGCTCCCTTTTTTCCACAGCCCTCTCCCGCCATTCCACTGCCATTTCTCTCCTAAGCACCTCCTTTTCCCTTTGGCTGGCCCACAAAGCCATTGTGCCCACCTGCTCCAGGAGCCTACCCCAGTCACCCTCAATGCCCGTGGGGAGCTGGGGCCCGTGGGGCCTTGGATCCTGGCGCTGCCCAGCCTGACCATGGCCACTCTTCTCCAGCTCCTCTCTGTGCATACTTTTCAGATGCTTCCACAGTGCTGTGGTGCCCACATTGACCCCAGGGCCACGGCTCACCTGCCTGCCACACAGGCGGCAGGTGGCATATTGGTTGGGATGGTGCCCAGCACGAGCAGGGGCTAGGTGGAAATACTCCCATGCCTCAGAGAACCGAGTGCCCTTGTTGTGGGGCGTTGGAGTGGGCATAGCACTCACAAAAGGGCCAACCAGTTCTCCTATCTCACTAATCTCTTCCTCTTCCTTCATCTCCAAGTCCCCTTTTGCCTTCATCATGGCTCCCTCCTCTTCCTCCTCTTCCCGCCTCATCATGTCACCTCTTCTACAGCGTTCTTTATGATGTGGCTAGATGTGAGCCAAAAGCTTATTTGAACCACAAGATTGAATATATATTTGGGAAGGGCCCGTGGTAACTCTTGCGGATTCACAATAATGGCCAAAGTCTGGCCACACCTGGGTGGTGTGAGGTTTCTTCTTTTCTGCTTCACTGGAGAGTCAGGGGTGAGTCAGATACAAGCAAAACGACCCAAGAGTGCATTCCTTCCATGCCCCAGATACTTACTTATCCTCCCTTGACTAGGCCAGAAAGACAAAACATATCAGTTCTGTAGCAAAGGTGTTCTCTGTCCAACAATTACAAAGCTCTTTGATGAACTCAGTGTTCTCTGCATCAACCACCACGACAGGTATTTTTGAATATTGAAAATTTTAGGTTTTCTTTTTTCTCCTCCTGCTTGTTTCCACTGTTTCTGTGCTTCTTATTGCCTATAAATGCATTTTGGAGGCAAGAGAAACAGCCTCAGGTTTCAGGCTTTTCAGGACCAACAGGGCTACGGCCTCACTGGGTCTTGCTCAGAGTAGGTAAAAGCAAACACAGGCAGATGCTGGTGTAGGAGACAATCATGCTTCCTAAAAACTGTTGCAACAAGCAATCCAGAGTAGACAAAGCCTATGAGGATCTGGATAATAAAGTTCTCAATGCAAGGTCAGTTTGTCCTTAGAGGCGTCTCTCGGAGGCCAGGAGTCTAAGAAATCCAAAAAGCAAGCTCAGCTGTTTCAGCAGGAGGAGCTGGGATGCACAGAGGGGAAGATGGAGCACATCTTCACAAACATGATGTTGCCTGGCTGTCCTTAGCCAGCAGCTCACCATACTCCTTCTCCAGCAGGAACACCTGCAAAGCCAACAGCCAATAAGACCTTCCTGAAGCACCGGACTCCAGGTGTTTTGCTCTTTAACTCATTTTAAAGATAAATAAGTAAATGGAAAATCATGTTGCATTTAAAAACAGCCCGACTTCTCTCTCCTTTCTTGGGTCATTTCTTAAATTAATAAGAGCATTATTTAATCAAGCTTTGCAACCCTGAACAGTTAGGAAATTCCCCCCTAGCCACAAGTGGGTACTTACAAGCAGGCAAGGCTCTGGACTTCTCTCTGATCTTTCCTGCGCAGAGTGAAAGCACTCCTGCACACCTTGGATGGCTATTAGCTGACTCCTACCCCTAGAAGGAGGGCACCTCCAGTTCTGGTTTCCTCCCACTTCTAGGGCAGCATTGTTTTCAAGAAGGTGTGTCTGTGCCTGTCGGATTTTTCTGCAACACTCAGACACAGATGCAAACCTTTTCTCCACCCCCTCCACTACCAAGAAAAGGATGTTCCTGGCATATGTCAAGCAGCAATACAGTAAGTCAAGCACCTACAAGTCTTAGTTCTCTTTTTTGAAGACTAGATTACCTAGCCTCTCAAGTAAAGCAAGTGATTTGAAGGAAGAAGAATGGGAAAGACTGAAATATGAAAGGTGTATACACATATAGATTATATATAAACATACATTATATATAATATGCATAATATATGTGTGTGTATACATATTTAGATTGAAAAGGAAAGCCTACCAAGAGGAGATAGGAAGACTCTAAAGAAGATGTCAATAGAAGAAAAAAAAACTTTGTGTTATAAAAGAAAAGATAGAAATGGCATAGCAGGCCAGGCGCCGTGGCTCATGCCTGTAATCCCAGCACTTTCGGAGGCCGAGGCAGGTGGATCACTTGAGGTCCGGAGTTCGTGGCCAGCCAACATTGTGAAACCTCGTCTCTACTACAAATGCAGAAATTAGCCAGGTGTGGTGGTGCATGCCTGTAATCCCAGCAACTCAGGAGCCTGAAGCAAGAGAATCACTTGAACCCGGGAAGTGGAGGTTGCAGTGAGCTGAGATCATGCCACTGCACTCCAGCCTGGGCGACAGAGGGAGACTCTGTCTCAAAAAAAAATAAATAAAATAAATATATAAAAATTTAAAAAAAGAAAGAAAAGAAAAAGAAATGGCACAGCAGAAAATACGTAGAGGTTGACGGTTAAGTTAAAATAGAAAAAAAAATGGGGGAAAAAGATTCAAAATAGGAATGAAACTGGTAGGAGTTTTAGAACATGAACCACATTTCTAAACCAAATCTTGGAACACAAAGTCTAGAGAGAGTATAGAATATTTGAAATTTGAACCATTTCTGAAAATCTGAATCTAGAGAATTCACGAAAGTCAAATCTTTTCAACATTTTTAGAAGTTAACGAAAGAGTTATTCAGTGAGCCAGTTGCCTTCATAAAATAATAACACCTCCACCTACTCCTGATATTACCATATCGTCATCTTTGGTGGGTTAACTAAAGATAAAGGAAATGAATCATGAGAATGGTTAATGTCACTGGATTAAAGCAAACCTTTGTATCTTTTTCTTTTTTAAAAAAAAAGTTTTATCTCCTATACCTTTTTATCTCTTCCTGGACCAACTGGAGATAAAAATCAATCTTTGGCATCTATTAAATTAAACTGAACACTCTCCTTTACTTAATAAGAATGTATTTTAGAGGATCTGGTTTTGCTTTTAATTTTTTAGTGGAGAGAATAGCATCCCTGGTCCATGTATGTATCCCCATTACCTGGAAAGGCAAGTGTTGAATGGATGGGAATATTGGGAGCTACAGTGTTTGTCACCCAGCATCTTGGATATGCTAGACAACCCCCTCTGAAATTCTCTTGTTTCTTTGGGATTTCGGTAGCAATGTACTGAGAAATGGTAAACTTCTGTAGGATTTCACTAGGAAAATGTTACTTAGCATTCTTGAGTGTGGTTTCTCAGCTCTATAGGCCCAGACTTCTTAGGAGTAACTAGTCTGTGGATTGACACCCAAATCATCACATACATTTAATTGTTCTTTACATGTTAACTAGCATATTCATTAACTGTGGAAAATATCTGGGAACTAAGAACTCGGGCTCGTCATATGTAAAATATATACATCTCTTGATGAGAAAACAAGTAATTATAAATGGAATTATAATTTTGAAGAGTCTCAGATAAAACAATGGGAATCCAATAATTCTCACCGGATGTTTTCACCAGACTGTTAAAGAAAGTATCATCCCCCAAAGAACAAACATAGCATTGAAAATAAAACATAACTAGCCCTGCATCTAAGTTCTCTGCTTTCATAACATAGCAACTTCTTTCATGTTTTTATTTCAATACAGTTTTTATTAAAAAATACGTTGGACTGAGATTAACGAGACATCGTTTCTAATTGTGCCATTAACTATTTTCCACTTCCTTGAACCACTGGATGCCTTGATTTTTCCATCTGTCAAATGGCAAAAATAAGGCATGCCCTACCTATCCTCAAGATTAATCCAATAAAATTTTTTTAAAAATTAGTAAAATACTTCACAAGTAAAAAGCAGGATATTTATATAAACTGGTTTCTGTGGTTATTACAAATAGTGTCGTACATTACTTGGGACACAGAAACAACGTGTAGATTCCCTTGAGCTTTAAACCTAACAGACTATTCTTCTCTTGACTCTGTTTGCTTTTTCCTTCTATTCTTTGGTTTCCATTTAGTATTATTTTATTCTGCCTACACAGAGTTAAGATTTCTCTTTAACAGAACCCAGAATCCAGACTTGGAACATTAGTATAGTCCTAGATATTTAACCCTTAGTTGACCTAGGAGTATAGTCGGTAGTTTATAACATCTCTATAGGAGATAACCCATTTATAGTGCACGTTCTAACACAACCTATATTAAAAGTAGACACTGCCTTCTATTTATTCAGCTAAAAGTGGAGAAACTCGTTTTTACCAACTTATGTTATATGAATGTTAGTAAGTTGTAAGGAGTACCAGTTTCTTAGGAATTTGCAAATAACCCTTTTTCTGTCTTTACCCCAGAGAACATTTACCTGCTTACTAAAGAATGTATTCCCCAAAGCAAATATCATATGGCTTATAGATGGAAGTTTTCTTCATGATGAAAAAGAAGGTAAGGAAATTAAACAATGGAAATAAGTTCTGTACAAAAAGAAAGAAAACAAAGGACATCAGAAATTGTCATTGCCCAAGTTGATCTTGGCACTTAAGAATGATTCTTATTCCAAGAAAAACATCATTCTGCCTACCAAATGTCATTTTCTGATGCTTCATCTGGCTCTTCCAAGGGAGTGGAATGTAACATTTTCCAGAATAAAAGAAATACAATTGATTTAGACAAACAACATCCAAACATTTTATTTAACTATCAGTAAAAAGAATATCTTAGATGAGGACAAAAAGTTTAAGTCTACATATATTTATTAAAACGTTTTCTGCCTTTATAACATAGCTACCTGTTTTTCCATGTCTTTCTTATTTCAATACAATGTGTTCAATTAACTTAGCACCACTGCTTTACATCAGTCAATAAATAATTTCTACCTTTTTATGTGAGGATCTGAGGCAGATGTTGGTGAAGCACTAGAGGAAGCCTATGTAAAAGAGTTGGCCCCTTGACAAGGCACATGTTCCCCAGGAGGATTAAAAATTCCTGGAGGAGGAACACACATCAAGACAAGCTCAGGTGATAATTCACAAAGCCATGTTTTTATAAGTAGTAACCATGACGGCCTCTACCAGAATAATCTCAGCTGTCCCTGCCTGAACAACAGCCATTCTCCTGTCTCCTGAGTCATTTTTCCTCAAAGTTCAATCTGTCTTCAATAACAACTGAGTCACACAACTCTTTCTGAATTATTTTTATTTTATTTTATTTTTGAGACAGAGTATTGCTCTGTTGCCCAGGCCTGGAGTGCAGTGGTGCGATCTTGGCTCACTGCAAGCTCCACCTCCCAGGTTCATGCCATTCTCCTGCCTCAGCCTCCCGAGTAGCTGGGACTACAGGCACCCGCCACCATGCCCGGCTGATTTTTTGTATTTTCAGTAGAGACGGGGTTTCACCGTGTTAGCCAGGATGGTCTTGATCTCCTGACCTCGTGATCCGCCCACCTTGGCCTCCCAAAGTGCTGAGATTTCAGGCGTGAGCCACCATGCCTGGCCTCTTTCTGAATTATTTTTAAGTGATAACATTGAAAGCTTATGTTAATGAGTGTATTGATCACTTGATGCATTTTGAGATTGTTATTGGTTTTATTAGTTTATTTTTAAGAAACAATTCACCCACAACAATGACAGAATACAATTCTAAAAATATAGGTTTAAAGTTATTATAGGCCAGGCACCATGGCGCACACTTGTTATCTCAGCACTTTGGGAGGCCAAAGCAGGTGGATCACCTGAGGTTAGGAGTTCGAGACCAGCCTGACTAACATGGTGAAACCCCGTCTCTACTGAAAATACAAAAAATTAGCTGGGTGTGATAGTAGACACATGTAATACCAGCTACTTGAGAGACTGAGGCAGGAGAATCGCTTGAATGCAGGAAGCGAAGGTTGCAGTGAACCAAGATCGTGCCATTGCACTCCAGCCTGGGCAACAAGAGGGAAATCCCGTCTCAAAAAAAAAAAAGTTATTATAAATATATTATCCTGTTAAATAAGCCCTGCATAGGCAAAGCGCCCAGATTTCACCACACTAGAGACTAGATTTTGTGGTCAGAATTGCATCGGCACACAACTGCATTTAGCTATTACTTTGGTAAATAATTGCATCAGAATTGGTGTTAAGAATCTTTAATGTGAAAAAGCTGTGAGAATCCAGAAAATTCTGACATATAGTGATAGTTGGTTTTACATTAATCTTCTGCTGCCTATTATGCTATTTGGAGGTTGTACTAACATAACAGTTTAAAACAGAGTTTGATTTGTAAAGCAGACTCATGGGACCCAAAATGCAATGCTTACAAATCTACAGCTTATTTCAAGAAGAGGAGACAACGTAACAAAAATATTACAATATGCAGCATATCCTATCCTACACTTACAGCCAGGAGTTCAGAGAAGTCAGATATGAGCTCCTTTGTCCTCCCTCTCTAAGGGCCATAGCCAGACACACTTTCTCTCTCAGCGCAGAGACTACTGATACATACACAGAAGAGCTCAGAAGTGGGTAGTCCAAAACAGAGTCCCAACCAAGACTGCTTTATATTTTACTGGTCACTTAGGTATATTCCTGCAACATAACCAGACTCCACAGCAGAGCTCTCCCAAGGTCTAACCTAGACTAGGTGTAAATTATCAGTCTCACAGTTGTCAACAAACAATGCTGGTGAGCTGGGATAATCTGCCTCAAAACATTTTGGACACATGATCACAAACAAAGCAACACTATTGATCAATATGTTTTATATGATGACATGTAGAAGCTTGAGCAAACAGCTCAATTTAATTCCAGATTTGCTGAAATTGACCCTCACTGCAGAGAAGCTGCCATTTGACCACTTTAGACTCTACATTATCATAAATGGATCATGCCATGCCTTGGCATTATTGTATGGCTCTTACATAAAATGTTAGTGACTAACCATGTTCTTATCTGTCTGGCAGGAATATATATTACTAATGAAGAGAGAAAAGGCAAAGATGGATTTCTGGAACTGAAGTCTGTTTTAACAAGGGTACATAGTGATAAACCAGCCCAATCAGACAACTTGACCATTTGGTGTATGGCTCTGTCTCCAGTCCCAGGAAATAAAGTGTGGAACATCTCATCAGAAAAGATCACTTTTCTCTTAGGTGAGTTGTCTATTTAATAAGCTCAACAAGCATTTGACAAGACTGCCATAAATTCAGAATATCTTTAGTGGGAACAAGTAAAATGCTTATCACATCCATAACGTTTTAATCTCAGAAAACTTTCTATGTAACTCATAACTATTTCAAATTATCAAATATTTTTGACAAGTAGGACCCCAGTGAAAAGAATTCTTCAAATAAAAATAAAATAGTTGATTCATGTTTTCACAAAGAATTTCTGCTGAATACTGCAAATTTTTTGTTCAAATTTAATTCATCTAACTCTTAATTAGCTAGCATTTTTATTAATCCATCACATAATGAAAATTAATACTAATACTGATGATCAAAAAAGATTTAAAAGACCTTAAAATTCCTTCTGCATCCTTAGAAACATTCCATTATGTACAACATGTATACTTTTGATATTTAGGAAGGGATAAGATGTGTACAATAAAAATACCATAAAAATAGGGATTGTATCTTAATAATTGTAGTATCCCTTGGTTCAAGCACAGTATTTAGCTAATAGAAGACTTTTAAGACTTGAAAATTGTTATATAGAATTACTGTAGTTATTATATCATTTGACTAACCGGAGTATTTACTACCCTGAACCAGACGAAATAATGAAGATTTTACTACATAAAAGATAAACTAATACCTCAATAAATACAGTGACAACAGATATGCCTGAAGAAAAATAGAAGTAATGACAACTGTCAAATATTCATATTTAACAGTAATCTTTTAAAACGTAAATATATTTGCAAATCATTATTACAACTCTATAGGAGCATTAATCTATTTAACCACACCCTATTTTCAGAGATATCATAATCTATAACACACTCATAAAAACACAGAATAATTTAAGAAGGAAACAGTTTTTCTTTGTTCCAAGGGCCCAATCCGCATCTTGGGTTCTGTCCAGTTCCTTCACAAGTGCAGTGGTTGGTTATGAAGAAGAGTGTATGCCCAACACAAATCTATCCCCACTACTCAGAAGCAGGTGTGATTCTGATGCTGGGGCATTGGCATCACTCCCGTAGCCCTGCCTGTGTGTCTATGTATGTGTATATGTATATGTATATGTATATGTATATGTATATGTATATGTATATGTATGAACACATCAACCTGTGTACTTGGAGATAATCATTCAGAAATTGTGATATATTTATATATAGCCTTACTCAACTTCACCTAATTCCCTCAGGAATAAGTCAGCTCCTTCCTGGAAAGCTGGACATAATAGGACTGCAGTCTTGGAACAATGTGCAGGTAGCTGATTCTCACACAGATCTGTCAGTAGCTTTGGCAGAATCTAAGGACGTGAGCTAAAGGACCCCAAAAGTTCAAATTCCTAAAGAGAACCCTCTTCCCATTATAGGCAGAACCGTGTCTGTAAAACTAATATTTTCTGATGCTAAAACAGTGCTTGATTTCAGTATCTGAAAATAATGAATACCTTTTTAGGTAATAGGAAGAACACTGATTCTGATACTGAAAACATACCATAATTCCAATTGTATAAGGCAGACCTTGATCTAGCATAATTTGGGGCTCTGAACAGGTGGTTAATTTTAAATTGCCAAATGAGTCTTTATCCTTTGTGATCAAATATGAAAGAAAATCAATCTTGAGGAGTTCAATTTCTCAAAATTAAAGCTTACATTCTCATCCCATTCTGGCATCTATCTATGTGACTGACTTAGAAGATGCAGTCAAGGCTCTATAAAGCAGTGTCATCACTGTGTTATGTCTCCCTGTTGTTGCAAGCTCTTAAACACTTACTTCCACACATGCTCTCTGTCTGTGATGGTACTGCTGGATGCTTTGTGAACTCCGCAGTAAACTTCTGATGTGTGGTGCAAGAGTCATTGCCTTACCAAGCTATTATTGTAGACAAGATACTGAGATGAAGACACAGAAGAAAAATCTGCCATCCCTCAGTGCTACATTAGAGAAATGCTAAGAGTATTACACAGTAGGAAAAAGTTTTAGTGAGAAAAGGGAAGAAGTTTTACTCTCTTTGCGCCCTCTTGTTTCCAGAAAAGGGTATTAATGTTGAAGACTGCGAGGTAACAGCCCTTTGAGGTGATTCCTTCTCCACCTATGCCTGGTCTCCCAAGAAGCTCTGGTGCTCAGTGATCCCTATTCTAGAAAACTCAGAAAGGGCATGGGATTAGGGTTAGGGTGATCAGTGACTCTTCAGGCAGCTATCTGTGCACCAGGACCTGCAGAATTCCCACGATCCACAGTAACTACCACTAAGAAAAAAAGTCTTTCAAAGATATCATGGACCAGGCATGGTGGCTCATGCCTGTAATCCCAGAACTTTGGGAGGCCGAAGCGGGAGGATTGCTTAAGTGCAGAACTTCAAGATCAGCCTGGACAACATAGTGATACTTTGTCTCTACTAAAATATTGAAAACATCAGCCAGGCAAGGTGATGCATGTCATTAGCCCCTGTTACTCGGGAGGCTGAGGTGGGAGGATTGCATGAGCCCAGGAGTCTGAAGCTCCAGTGAGCCGTGATCATGCCACTACACTCCAGCCTGGGCAACAGTGCAAGGCCTTGTCTCAAAAAAAAAAAAGAAAAATCCTGCCCTGCTAGCCTGTCAAAATGTCTAAAATCATGGCAATGCTGAGTCTATTTTTGGCAGATTTAAAGAGCTGGGTTTCGTGGGTTTTGTTTTGGGGAGTGGGTGGGAGATATTTTGTCTTGTTTTAATCCAAAAGTTGAGTACAATACCCCCTGGGGTGGATAATATTTTGGTTGTCATCACCTTGACAGGGATTTGTTTATTAAGTGGATTTCTGACTGTAGCTATTGAGATCAAGACCTTTGGGATAGAAAGAGAGTTAAGCATTGACAGGCGTGTAGGTGTATGTGTGTGTAGGTATGCACGTGTATCTTAGCATGTGGAAAGACGAGTAACAAAAAGATATCTTAATAGTGGAACAGGAGGACCACTGCATATTGGTGTGGAAGATGTCAGACAAATACTTCCTGTTTCATGACTTCCCTCAGTGCAGCTGACCTCATACCCGTGACTGATCCTTCCTGAGAGTATCAGTTGAGAATTTCAATATGCATACAAATCACCCAGGGATCTTGCTAAAATACAAAAATTCTGATTAAGTAAGTCTAGGTGGGACCTGAGATTCTGCATTTGTAACAAGACCCTAAAAGAAACCTATTCTGCTTGTCTATGGACAACACTTTGAGAAGAAAGGACCTAGCAAACCCTCGGATTTGGCTTACTTCTAGGTGGACAAGATAAGGGCTTATACAAGCTCTGAGGAAACCCCAGAATTAAGCCAGTTGCCCTGTGGGACACACCCATGGCTACTGCTGCCCATGAGGTTGGTTCTGAGAGCCCTGCCAGAACCGAATGGACACACCCAGGAACGGACGAAGTGGCTTTAGGCAGCAGCTTACCGTCTTATGACATTATGGTAAATGCAATGATCTGGAAACTGGCAGAGGTGTTTCTGCTAAATTCTGCATTTGGGTTTTGGGAAACTGTTTCTCCTTTTGAGGTTTTAACCACCCTTTTCATACCCCCTGAGTTTTGTTTTGACCAAGGCAGAGTTTCCACTTTACAGTCTAATCTAAAACTAGACAGACATTTTTAGGCCCCATATTTTATGTTGAATGCTATGTTTCACCTCTGTCACAGGACGAAGTGTTCATCTCAAAATGCACATCTTACAACAATATATTATTGATGCACTATGAGGCTGAACACCTCAGCTTACAAAATCACTTGGTGATGAAATACGGCAGAGAAGTATCCTAAAACTGAAATATTCAATCAATGAAAAATAAAAGTTTCCCATTGTGGAAATAGAGCATAACGTATCAATATCTTCTGTTCCAGGAACTGGCAACCTTCTTCTGTAAAGGGCTAGATAGTAAATACATTTTAGGCTTCGTAGACTTTTTAATTTCTATCACAATTACTCAACTCTGTCACCCTAACACAAAAGCAACCATGGACAATATGTTAAAAAAAAAAAAAAAAAAAGGGAAAAACTGTGTTCCAATAAAAATTTTATAAACATGATTTCACTGTAGGCCATAGTTTGCCAACCTCTATTTTAATCAATATACAGAGAAAAATGTCTAGGCATTTATTTTCCAAGCCAATGCCCTGTCTTATTAAGGTAGCACTTTGGAAGATAATGCTTATGATCCACCAGCTGTCAGACACACACTTAATGCTGGCCTTCTTTCTTTCAGTGTTAAGAATAAATTTGCATGCATTGATTCACCTACTTCCATTTGCCAGAATCCATAAATATGGTGTGGAGCAAAACAGTGACTTCCCTTGAGGGGCATACACGATGACACAGAGTTATGAGGCATTTGCTAGGGTCAACACTGAGGGGTGAGCACACCACAAAGCTCCCCAGGCTTCCTCAGCTTGAGAAGGTACATTCAGGGAAGTTTGGGGATAAGAAAATGTCAGCAAACCACATAAATTAAGACCAAGAAGTCCCAGAAGTCACAGAGAGAATACTGTGCTTCAGAAATTGGGTTGAAATATTGCTTATTGGATAGAGGGTATTATTTGAGAGAGATGGAAAAAATGATAGGCAATATCAGGAAACTGGGAGTGTAATGACAGCTCAAACAATAATTAGACTTGTGTGTCATGCTGAAGAGTTCAAACTTATTTGGGATGTATGAAGAAAAAGGATGGTCATTTTGTTAACCTAGTCATGTACTTCCCATTTAACTGTCCTCCAGCTCCTCAGAGATTATTTGCACAAAAGCATTCATATAGTAGTAGGTCAGAGCTAGCTATGAGTGCCCCCAACAGCCAATGGCAATAGCAATGCTACTAACAATGAGAAGAGAACATACATGCATCTAGCTTAGAAAAACAAATTCCTCCCACTGGGCTATGTGCTATCCAGTGACATAACGTAAGTAAAATATACTTGTCCCTTAAAGTACATTACAGAATAGAACCAATAGTTTAATTATTAATTAAACATCCAGATAATTGATGTAGTTCTTCAGATGTGTAACACTGTATGCAGTAACATTATATCTACAAAAATCATAAAATCTTCTAACTTCAAAATCATCTAAGCACATTTAACCCACACGCTCCTAAAGTCAATAGAGCCTTCTGGCATTTGTAAATTGTCCTTCCAATAGGGCTATTTTTAAATACAGTAATGGAGATTTAAGGAATTGACATAAATGTAAAACATAAGTAAAACCACATTCTAGCCTCTATTTCAACTCCCCTCAACACACACACACACACACACACACACACACACACACAAGAAAAAGTTGAGGCCAAACAAAAATATTATGACAAAAGTTGACATTTTAGAAAGCAGAATAACATCACAAGTTTACTAATGTTACATCCAATTGGATAGTTGTATCATTGTTTCTACTCTTGCTGATATAAAAATTTTTGTGAGTTTATGGATTTTGTAAACTACAGGATTGCTTATCAAACACTTCAAAATATTAAATGCTATAATAGTTTTACCAGGTCTTGGTAAAGTGTAACTTTTTCCAGGGAGCCCTCTCAGACCTCCCAGTCTTTATCGGTGCACCTTTATTGCATTCCTGTGGCCACCTATACTTCCACTGTCATAGTACTCAACACAATGCTTGGCTGCCTAGTTTCTAGGCCATCGGCCCTTTAAGGACAATCCCATGTCTTTGTCATTCATCATTATATCCCACTGCCTTGACCATAATATGCCCCCAATATATTGATTTGTTACATGGTGAATAAATAAAGGAAAGTGTATTTAGGAACTAAGGCAATACTATTGCAATATTTTGTTCATTATAAACATCTTTCCAATCCTTTCAGGTTCTGAAATGTCCACAACAGACCCTCCACCGAGTGTTACAGAATCCACCCTTGACACCCAACCTTCTCCAGCCAGCAGTGTATCTCCTACAAGTAAGAATGTTTTCACACTGAGCTATTAATTTAACCAAGCAGATAATTTAACCAAGCAGATAAAATTTCAGCAAACTTGCATGGTTCATGCCTGTTTCTTAGCTATGACTTTTTTTCGGCTGAAATCGAGTTTTATTTTTTAACAGCTTTATTGAGATATAATTCACATCACATTAACTCGCCTATTTAAAATGTATGATCTAATGGTTTTTAGTATGTTCACAGACTTGTACAACCATCACCACAGCCAATTTCAGAACATGTTCATCATCTAGTAAAGAAACTCCTAAACATATTAAAGTGTCATTCTCATGGCTTCAAAGGGTTAGCATAACTTCCAAAATCCTTTATTTGAAGCCCTGGGAAAATTAAGGTCAATAAATATTCAGTGAGGAATTTAAATTCTGTATTTATTATTAAATAGGTTAATAAATTGATAGTCGTTCTCCAAAACAATGTTCTCAGTGGGGAGTTTAAGAGATTGGTTGTAAAGCGGGATAGGCCAAAGGAGGTTAAATCCTTTTAAATTTAAATTTGTTCTGGTTCAAATTAATGGTGACAAAGTTGACTGGTGAGGACTATGAATTCAGCCCTCCCATCTGAGGCATCATTAATAATGGAGGTCAGCCTGGGTCAGCAATACTATGGCAAAGGAGTGGCAGTGACTCTCAAAAGTTGTCATTGATGCAGCACATCATAAATTCCCATGTCCGTGGCCTTTGTGTCTAACAAAGAACCGTGGTGACTCTCTAATACAAAAAAGTTTATATTCTATGTAAAGTAGAAGTAAGATTCATTTCTCATTTAATTAAAACTATCAATTTTTGCTCAAAATGAGAACTGAAAATGGAATAAAACAAAAGCAGTCAGTGGGAATGAACAATTCCTTTGTCTGGTAACCTTTGGCATCTAGCCTGCAGTCACTGTCATAGGTTGATACTTCTCAGAAAATGAAGCAAGTGGCAGAGAAGCTTGTAAACCACCCATCAAAAGTTTCACATCCATCTGATTTTCTCATGTTCTTAATGTTTTGTAATTTTTCTTTTCTTCTTTTTTTGAAGCCTCTTTTTCTTCTACTTTTAACTCACCACCGATCATAAACCACAGTTAATTATGGCACTTTTCATTCAACAAGTATTAGCATATTCAAAAATAATAAAACCTTAAATCTCTCTAGTATCCTGTGTATTAGTTTTCCATTGCCGCATTAAAAATAACTCAAATTTTGGCAATTTACAAAACATGTATTGTCGCATATGGTTTCTGGGGGTCAGAAATTTCAGGAGCAGCCTAGCTGGAAGATGCTAACCTGGGTTCTTTCATGAGGTGCAGTCACACTGTTGACTGGGGCTTCAGTCATCTGCAGGTCTGACTGGAGCTAAAGAATCTGCTTCTAAGCTCTAGCATGTAGATGATCTCAGTTCCTCAGCACATGTTCTTCTCTATAGCTCTGCATACAATATGGCAGTTGGCTTCCTCTGGACCAAGTAATTCAAGAAACAGAGTGACTAAGTCAAAAGCTATATTGCCTTTTTATGGCTTTGTCTCCAAAATTGCATGTTATTACTTCTGCTTTATTTTATCTACTAGAAGTAAGTCACTAGGTCCATCTTATACTCAAGGGGATGAGAATTAGTCTCCAGGTATCAAAGAATCTCTGAACAAATTAAAGCCACCATACCCTGTCATTTAGAAGTGTCTGCACATAAAAGGCAATGTGGTTTGAGCTTCTTTATTATGGGTGGTAGACAGAGCAAGCATTATTGTTCCCACTTGCGAGATAGGGACATTGAGATGCTGAGAGCTTACATGATCACATACCTAGTAAGTGACAGTGTTTTGCATTCACACCACAGTCTTATGACTAAATTTAGTTCTCACTACATTAGATACCACTTTTTCTCCAGTTGGCCCAAACGTATCATGAGAACAGGAACCGTATTTGTTTTGCCTCCTAGCACAGAGTAGGCAGTCAAAAACTATTAGTTGAATAACTAACCGAATGAATGAAAGAATTAATAACAATAAGGTCCCTTCACTGTGTAGATGTTATTTAATAGACTATTTAATGCTAAAGAAAAAAGATAAAAATATATTTCTGCCTTCAGGAAGGTTGCATCTACTTGGAAGAGAAGGTATACACACATAAAAACAATAATTCAAAATAGTAAGATGAAAGGTGGTGTACTTTACAGAATTAAAATGCCCAGGGGGAGGTACAAACCCGTAAGTATTAGGCTTTGAAAGTTCTTTATGAGTTCATGGGCTCAGAAAACGTTACCTGGGAGACATGAAATAACTCGACCTTTCAAGTATATATTGTATATGTTTGACTCAGTGGAGAGCTTGAAAGAACATTCTAAACAGAGAAAACAAAGTGAGCAGTTGTGCAGTGACAAAGATGTTTATGGGCATTTGAGAAAGCATCAGTAGATAAGCTTGGATCAAAGAGGTGGTATTGTGTATTAAAAAAGCAGGGATGAAGACTGGAAAATGCAAACTAAACAGAGCTTTGATCCCCAGTTTAAGGACTCCAAATGCTATCCTTTATGAAACGGGGGAAGGACCTCATTCCACTTTATTTTAGAAAGAAAGTGATATAACTCATTCATCAAATATTTATTGAGCACCTACCTATCAGGTACTCTTGTAGGTGCTGTGAATACAGCAATGAACAAAACTGAAAAAAAAAAGAATGTCCTCATAGCATTTATATTCTGCTAGTTAAAAGCAGACATGAATTTCTTCTAGTTAAGTTTTTATGGGGTTAGTCTACATACACTAAGTGCTTATATCAGTGCTTACAAACACAGTTCATACTTCTGTGACAAAATTCAAAGCAAAAGAAAGCAGTTGTTACACTTAAGAAGCCTACAATTTAATATAGGTTTAGTATTAATGAAGGAAAGAAAGCACAGTCAAGTACCATATTTGTTTAAAAGCAGGGGGGAAAATGCTACCTGACCTACTATCACACTAAGACGATATAGTTGGGAAGTCTGTGCAGAATCAAAAGACCTCCGTAAAATGAGGTTCTACCACACTGGACCTGAGGGTTGTGTTAGATAAGTGGTTGTCAACCAGAGTAATTTTGCCACTCCAGAGGACCTTTGGTAGTGCCTGGAGACATTTTTGGTTGTCACAAAGAGGGTGGGAGGGTGCTACTGGCATCTAGTGCATAGAGGCCTGGGATGCTGCTAAACATTGTGCAACACAAGCCAAAACAGCCCTCACAACAAATAATCATTTGGTTCAAAATGTCAATAGTGCCAAGGCCAAGAAGCCTTGTTTCAGATCAAGGCTTAGGTGTAATTACAGTAGGTATCTCTTAATTTTCAAAATCAATCTGGATTTCTGTCAAGATGGCAACAATAGTTTATGTGTGGAATAATTTTCTGTTTGATTTTTTATGTCAATAAAACTCATGTTAAACCAGTGGCAGATTATGTCTAAATAAACTTATCTTTTTGGAATAATCACTGAATTACTATTGAAAAATCCAAATTTTGTCTTGGCAAACTGGAGGGTAATTGCGAAATCACACGATGACTTCCTGCCTCAGAAGCTGGTAGGATTCACCTTTGCATGTTCTTTGAAGAAAGGAAGCGAGATGAAGCATGTCATGGAAACCAACTTCAAAGGCTGTGGTTTCGTTCCAAATTCTAAGATGTAATGAGCTTTATAATCCAGTCATCATTACGAAGCTACATGTCTGGCTGCAAGCATCCAGTTCTTATTTTTTCCTCGATGAAAGGATATTTTTTAAACAAATGTTGAAGGTCATGAAAGCAATATTCTTTAATGAGGGGAGGAGAACTTAATAACTCATAACAAACTGCAAGAGTTATCCAGGGAAGCCCAGCTCAGTTCAACCTGAACCAATTAGTGTTTGCTGAGTCCCAACTGCATTCTCAGTGCAGTTCAAGGAAGACAGGCTGACAAGCTAAGTGGCGAGATGAGACAAGTCCATGTGGAACAATCAGAGACACTTGATGAATCCAGGGTGGGGCTGTGCAGACACAATTCAGGAGCTTCCATAGCCTTGAGGAGAGAGCCCTGTGCCTTTCAATTCACTGGCTATGACTCAGCTAACTGTTGTGTAGCCTAAGAGATGCCAACCCGGTGTGGCAATCATCCAAGACACTTGTTCATGAAACTCTTAAGTATGGAGTGCCTACAATGTGTCAGGGACTTTTGAGGTGCTCGGATACAGTGATGAACAAGACAGACAGGGCTCCTATTGCTTACAGAGCTTATAATCCTGTGTGACCCATTTGCCTTGCCTCCTATTTTACTGCCCACCAGTCCCTTTCGCTCTGCCTCCTATTGTTACGTCTGCACATGACCCTTAGACCTGATGATGTTGATTTTAATATTAAGCCCTTTCTAATGACTTAGCTGGTCCTCACTATCTGGGTCTTTCTACTCCTGGGTTCTTAGAGTAAAACACTAGGTCCAGTCTGCCTCTAATCCTCAGCCAGCACCCCATGTAGACAGAACTGATCCTTGCCAAGTGGATGATCATGCACTGAGAGGCACAGACTAAAGGAAGCAACTGCCCAGGGGATGCAACAAAACTACTGATTTATGAGTAAAAATGTCAGAAATGGTGGGGGATCAACCCAGAAGACATGTCACTAGATGAGATTAGAAGAAAGTAAATCAGAAGTTCAGCAGTTGATAGGGGTATTGGATTCTAATGTTAACAGGGGAATGCCAGAGAGAGTCTCCAAGGCAGTGACAAGGCTCCAGTGATTTGTTTGTGACAGCAACTTCTGACCCCTTTGCTAGTCATGCCATGCCTGTGTTCAGGTGCCAACAGGGCACCTCAATTGCTGTTCAGTAGTTTCTGCCGTTATCAATATGTATCTGCTGCTGAAAAGTAAGAAAAGTCAGTGAGTGCTGGGGGAAAGGAAGGGGAATCAGGGAAGTCTTCACACAGGGTCTGGAAGAAAATACTGACTCAGGTAGAAGAAAGATGAGAAATGGATCTTCACATT